AATTAAATCCATTCCATTTTATCTATGACATATGAAAACCAAAATCCTTCATTAATATTTTAAGCAAATACCCTATTATTTTACTATATCAGTTGCTCTTAACGTTCTAATTCTTGAGTGAGTACCTGGGTGAGTAATGACTATTTATAAGTGGACTATGTAATCAGATTAAGCGAGAACTGCAGCTTTCGTCAATCTGATTTCTACATCATTCCTAATAGTTTCGTATCGTCATAGTATTGGTCAATGAGTGAGTTATGAGAGCAAAGTCTGGAATGGCACGGCTATGCTGGAATGTAGTACCAAGGAATTGTCTCAACTTTTTGTGCTTTGTCCCACTCCTTATATTTTCCCATCATCATAGTACTGGTCAATACGTGAGTTATGAGAGTAAAGTCTGAAATGGCACTACTATACTGGAATGTAGTACCAAGGAATTGTCTCCACTTTTTAAGGTTGGCAGGTGGTTATAAATTACAAACTGTAGCAACATTTTGCGGTTCGGTAGGGATGCGGTAGGAAAAACTAACATGTCCAAGATATTTCGTTTTAGTTTTGAAAAACTGACTTTAGTCTGAGTTGATATGAAGATTTAAAGGATAAGTCAGTGGAGAAGTTCTTCGAGGTTCTGCAACCACTGTTCGAAGAAGGCACCTGTCACAATAATATTATCTAAATATGCAGAAGCAGGATCAGTCTCAATTGCTTGATGAAGTGCTCGTAAATTTGCCGCTGGAGCAGAGTTAAGACCGAATAGCAATACTTTTAATAATCGCTATGCTTTAAAAGATATATAACTTGTTATATTGTTGAGCCTTTTTTCCGATTTAGTGCATCTGAGCACTTTTACTCTATGATGGCAGGGGGGTTTCTGCAGTGTCCCACCCATCTTACTGACTAATTTGAGTATTCCTCATAATCTTAATGATTATTCAATGATTGATCTAAGATATGCGTATCGCCCCATGTGGTTAGTGATTACTCTGAGATTAGATAGTGCTAAGTAGGGCACTCTGTTGGTTTTCGCATATAGTTTCTGAGCTATGTCCCTTATGTATTTTTTGACCGCATCTATTCTAAGGTCTCTTAGCATGTCATTCGGAAAGTATATATATATATATATATATTTATATATGTATATAAGAATAACTTGTAATTATTACAACTTATGAAAGATAAGACAATATCGTCAATATTTGTGTACATAGCTTTTATACATCGATTTTATCTAATTATATTAAATATTTAATATTAATATTAAATAATTTTTTCTCTATTTTCATTAATTAATGCTTGTGTGAAAATATTTTTTACTATAACAGCAACAATAGTTTGTAGATTTAACTAAACGCTACAGGCGATGCGTACCAAAAAAAAAATTAAACAAAATTCGGTTATGCAAAAATTTATATGACAATCTTATTGGCTTCAGGCACTTCCAAAAACAAAGTTAAAAATTGGTAGAAAATTGGTTGTTGTTTTTTTTAGTTAAATAAATTATTTTTTCTCGATAATATCCACATTTGTGTAGTTATCCATCGGGCCCCAAAATGTTACTTAATAGTGCATAAAATACAATATAAAATAACTTTGCCTATAGTAATGTTTTACATAACATTATTTTTAAATAAAATTACTTAATGTTAACTTTATGAGTGTAGGTATTGCATTTTAATTATTGTTATTTTAAAATTACTTTTACTAATTTGATTTCGTGAAACTAAAACGAAATTCCTTTCTCGAAAAACCCAATATAATCCATTAATTCCAGACCCACACACGTTCAAAAACGAAAAATCTTTCATAAAAACAAATCTGCACATTTGAAGTCTGAAATTGAAATATTTTTTTTTTTAATATGAGATATTTTTGTTTCAAATTAAACAGAAATTTATTAAAAGTAGAAAATTAGTCCTAAAAAAATTATAAACAAACCGAAATTAAATTAAATAAAATGCGGTTTTATTATATGTAGTTTTTTATATTGTATATAATGTATTTATACTTTAATTTCCACAAATTTTTTTGGTTGCTATTTGACACTAATGATGCCGGCAGATATGAGGCAAATTATCTCAGTGCGCATAAGTACTCAGTTAGATACTTTTTTGTTTATGTAATCGCGGTTGTAAGTTTTGTTGCAAAAAGAGTACAGCGAAAAAAAAAGATTGTTTAAGAAATACTTAAATAAGTTCACATGCGCCTTTTTTTGTTGTAAGTTTTTTATGTCGTAATACAGTAACAACTAGCGGCAGCAGCAGCAGCAACAGCAGCTGAAATCTCAGTCCAACAGCAATCTCAATCTCAGTTAGCAGCAATAAAAATTGTAACAATTGCTATAAAAACGTTGGTAAAAAATGTTAGCCGCAACTAAAACAAAGCCAACACAGCCAACAAAGTCAGTACAAAAGTAATTTGTGGCATTAGCACATGAAGTGGTCCATTTGTCTCAAAATAGTTAACAATTTGGTGCCGTCTTCACCGCAATCCACTTCGTCGCCCAGTCTCTGTTTGAGTTATTCGAAAATTCATTCCATTGTCTTTATAATTTTTTTCTGTGGTCA